CGTCGCCGAGCCTGCAGATGGAGTGGAGCTTGGGTTAGAAGTAGACGTCGTCCCACCTCCGACCGAGCCAAAAATCGTCCAGCTAGAGAGTGAGCAGCACCTATCTTCGCCGGTTGCGCCGATAGCCGATGCTATCGGGCAGCCACAAAAGTATGTAAAGTAGAAACAAGCAATATGTGTAAGGGATAAGTTCGTGGGGGAGTCCCCATGTAAATGTTTTTGTGTATCCATGAATACAGTAACTTTGTTTCTGTGATGAATCACTTCGTTCGGGGAAGCTTGTCCCATCCGTTCCTTCTTTTCTTATCTGCCTTAGTGATTTAGTTTGGAACATTCATGGAATTATGTTGTTGAATGTGGCGCACTGTTTTGCCATGATCTTTATAACTGATTGCATTGTTATTCATGATGTTCAGCAGAATGTACTTTATAGTTTATTTAAAACAGAATGTTGGATCACCAATGTATTGCCTGCCTACGAATTTTCTCTTGTTGTCTAGGAAAATTTAAGCTACATGTTATTGGAAGTAAGTAGGTTTGTTGATTTTATGGCGTACTGGTTGTCAGTGATTTCTTTTCAGATGACTTTACTATTATTCTGTAATGGTTTGGTAGATGCAGTTTTTTCCATCTAGTTTCATCTTTTGCATTATCAATTCTGTCATTATAGCAACCATGTTTGATTGCACTGCCTAACATAATCATTCCCAAAATCCATTTTCACAAACTGCTTTTAAAACTGTTAGCTAGTTTAAACTCAATTGGCTTATTCCTAGCAATCTTTCTTCACAATTTAGACTTGTTTTATTTGGTTGATATCTGGTCTAGAGAATACTTGAGCGGATCTGTTTAATGATTTTCCTGGTGGTCCAACGTGTGGTCTGTGCTTGAACATTAATGCAGTTGCACAGTAAAATTAATGGAAGTAAATAATTTGGTTAGGTTTTCATGTTTTTGTCTAGACCTGTCCGGTTTTCTGTCACTTAAATCCTATTTCCTTTTCCTTTTGGTGGCCAATTTGCATAATTCATTTACAAAATGGAGGTAGTTTTTGGTGTTGCAAAAGGTGACTGATTTCAGAGGTTTCCTGGAAATAGAGCACCAGAGCTATCGACCCTACAACCGTCAGAGGGAGGTCTTGGAGAGGGATCCATCACCTTTGTTCTTTGGGGGAAACCTTTTATGCCATGAAAGCTTGTCGTCATCCTCTTCTGCTGGTCAGAGCTTATTGTAGTGTCCTTTACTCTATGGCACATGGTACATTTTTTGGAGTTAATTGTATACTTACTTGTCTTCACAGGTCCTCAACCAATGGAAGTGATTGAGATCTCTTATGACATGGCACGAAGTATTACCTCAGGGGTGGGCTCTTGGTCTCCAGGATAGAGTTTTACATTCTTAATTTCCTTTCCCACTTAGGTGGACTAACTCTTACCATAACGTGGTATTAGAAAATTGTCCAACTCATGTGTACTTCCTTTTTAGGGCAATCTAAAAGTTCTCATATTGTAGGGCCTCGGTCTTAGTGGTCAGCATGATGAAGAAAGTTATCTTGTGCTATATAGTTGTGTGAGAGAGAGGCAAGTGGGTCTGATACTTTTGTTTGCTTTAAGATACATTGTGTTGCTGCACTATGAGCCATCCATCGAGATGGCTCTTTGTTAATTGGGTTGAGAGTGCGTCGAATACTTTGGTTTGTTTTTGTACACTTCTGAGTAGTTGTACTGTGGGCATAAAAAATATATGTTCCGGTCGAATTTGAATTGTAAATTTAATTTTTTTTGGCGTGAAAATGATTTGTAGGGGCGGTTGGTACTGTAGCCGCCCCTACAAATCGATTTGTAGGGGCGGTCTGGGAACCGCCCCTACAAATACATGATTTGTAGAGACCCTTGCGTAGGGGCGGCTGGGTAAACCGCCCCTACAAATGGTCTACAACCGTCCCTAAAAATCATTTTTGATGTAGTGTCGCCCGCCTCCGTGACGCCAGGCTCCGCCGTCGAAGTCGCACCTGCAGCCGTCACTAGCATCCTCCTCGTCACCTCCTCCTATGGTTGGAGACGACGAAGGCATCACGACCGTGCCGTACTTCACGCCTGCCTCGAGCGAGGCTCCTCGCACCCGATGCCCTAGCGGAAGAAGCTCGCGGCGACCAAGTCTGTGGTGCTCTTCTTTTTGCCACCTCCCAGCCCCGATCAGCCCATCGAGGCGGTTATCGAGTTCCTCAGCGCGCCTTACATGGTGGTCACCGTCCACTAGAATGTCGCGCATGATATGTTGTAAGCGTATGTTTCAAGTGTTTCAGATGTTCTAAAAGTATGTTGCAAGTGTTTCATATGGATGTTGCAAAAGTGGATCAAAATGTTATATATGTTGCAATAGCTATACACGTATGTTGCAAAAGTCTATTCTAAATATTTCATCTGTTTTTTATAGTAAGTTGTAAGTGTGTTTTTCTGGATGTTGCATATGCTTCACACATATTTTTGCAAGTGATGTTGCAAGTGTTTGCAATGGCTTCAAATGTTTTCAGGTGTTTTACAAGTGTTTTAAACATATGCTGCAAGTGTTTTATCTATTTTGGACGTATATTGTAAGTGTTTTATCTGGATATTGCAAAAGTAGATCGGGTGTTGCACATGTTGCAATGCGCTTGAGATGCCACTAGTACAGAAATGATTTTTAGAGATGTCTCCCTTTTCTAACAGAAGCGGTTGTCTTAGCACGCCGTCACTAACCTTCACAGGAGGCACTATAGCTATACAACCGTTGCAAGAAATTAATTTTTAGGGGCGGTTCCATTAAGAAATCCGTCTCAAAAAATGTATTCATTTTTAGGGGCGGTTCTGTTAAGAGAACTATCTCTGAAAATGTTATTTTCAAGAACGGTGGCTTATATTAACCGTCTCTGAAAATGAGTGATTTTTAGAGACGCTTTTATTAAGTCAACCATCTCTAAAAATCGATTTTCAAGGGTGGTTGACTAAGTCAACCATTCTTAAAAATAGCTGCAGTACAAATAAATTCATATTTTTTTTAAATGAAGTCGGTTGAAGACAAAATTTATATCAAAATTATAGAGCTCAACAAGATCTAAAACTTTTATAGTTGAGAAATTTTTTGTTTGAGATCATTTAGGGTTCTAAATATATAAATTAAGTGTTAGATTTTGAATTTTGAATTTTTGATTTTGTCAAATGACCTTGATGGAGAAATTATCTATATCAAAGTTGTAGTGCTCGACGAGATCTAAAACTTTGTAATTCAAAGTTTTTTATTTAAGATTACTTATGAGTTAAAATATTTATTACAAGATTCGTACATATTAGTACAAATAGACAGCATCGTCAAACTAGACACAAGTTACTACATGGTGCGGTGGTAGGGGAGGGATCACGCGAGGGAGAGATTGTGGGTTAAAATCCTAGGTGTAGACACTTATTCAAAACAAAGTGAAAAATAAATCTGGTTAGACTCTAAATGATTTTTAAAAAGTTTTGAAAATTATTTCTAGGGACGGTTGAGTTAACCGTCTCTGAAAATAGATTTTTAAAGGCGGTTGTCTTAAGTCAACGGCCTCTGAAAATCAATTTTAGAGGCGGTTTTAAAACTGTCTCTAAAAATCACTTACTTTTACAGTCGCTGGCATAGTAACGGTTTTAAAACCGTCTCTGAAGATCACTTTTGACCATCTCTAAAAATCTTTTTTATACTAGTGTGCGGAGGGGGCGCGAGGTCCCGCGTGTGGTCTAGTGGCGCGGGCAACGTCCGGACGGCGTGGGCCCTACGTGGGCGCATGAAATACAGGCACGGGTGTGGAGTGTAGGCGTAAGCGCAGGAAACAGAGTGTAGCTTGGGCGTCCGTCTAAACATATGAGCGCTAGCACTACCGGAAAAAATAAAGTCAAACAATTTTTTTTAGATTGCTCCATGTTATAGACGTTTAATGATAAATAACCTCATTCATTCGACCCATTAAACAATAAGGTTACACAAAGATAATTAAGGACAACTAAAAGGTCTGCTTAAATATTAGCTTATAACACTACTTACTGCCATCATCATCATCTTTTATCAGTAACTGCTACGGAATCCTGCAGCTTGTTCGGCTGGGGCTGAAACGATCGTATACGGTCGTGGATTATTATTACTGGCTGGTTTGGTGTGAGAGAAAAATATTATTTTAGCTAAAAATTTATGATCGTTTACGACTAAACGAACATGCTGCTATTCTACAAAGGATAGGACAAGATTTTGGACCTAATCAAGGTACGCCTCCTAGAGAGTTAGGAGTTGCAAGCAATCTGCCGGATGGCTGTTGATGAGCCTAGAAGATCGTTGGGCCTCGGTACGGCAAGCAGACAATCCAGAGAGGTCCCTCGGCTGGCTAGGCTAGGCGAGCTCAATTTTTTTTTTTTTGAAAGGCACCAGCAAGAAATTTGCTGTGCATGTATCAACAAAATCTTTACAGAAAAAAGAAACAACCACTCTCACAAAGAGTCAACAACCACGACAGAACTACTACTGGCGAAATAAACCTGGGGCTACCGTTGTCGCGCCGCCACAACAACGACCGTAGGAAGACGCCTTCAGCTGGCTATCGCTGCCGATGCAGTCCTGGTCACTGGCAAGCGTGAGCAGGTGCCTCCGCGTCGGTCTTTGCAAACCGCTTCCAGCCAAGCCGTCGCCGGCCCCCACGGGTCGCCACCAACCACCACTGCGGCAAGGACAAACAACACGGGCACAACGGAGAATCTCCATTGCGCTGCCTCCATGGAGGAAAAGACACCCACGGACGCCTTTAGGGCAGTAGCTTTTCAACCGGAGAAAACCTCAGAGAGATAAGGGGCCTCACAACAATGCCTCCAAATAGGAACATAGCGCTGACGCGTCATCATTGTTGGCATAGGCACAAAGCCCAGCAATGCTTTCACCCGAGAACCCCTCCCCTCAAAAGGTTGCCGCGCCTGAGCAAAGATCGTCGTCGTCGCTGTTTCCGGTCACAGAAAATCCACAGAGGTAGCATGCCGAGCTGGACGTCGCAAATCGACGCCAATCGCCGTGACAAGTCCACAGGAGCCGCCACTATCTGGATGTCGCTGCCACGGCAAACAGGCCAGCAAGTCACCGTGGTGCCGATCCTCGCGAATCGCTGCCATACCAAATACCGCCAACCCCTGCAAAACGCCCCTAAAGACCTCCGCAATCACACGGGCACACAGCATACCATGTTGCCTGCTCGGCCACCGTTGCCCCAGTGCTGCCAACCACCACTTGACCACCACCGCCGCAGCACTATCCACCTCGGCACCTACCGTAGGGCGCGGTCCTGCCATCGCCGATGCTGGTGCCCTCCAGCAGCCTCCGCCGGCTCCACACAGCCATGCCGCACAGCCGCCGGGAGCCGCCATCACCTCGTCGCTGTCGGCCACCACCCGGAAGCAGCTGTCGCAGGGCGCGCAGGCCCGCACCGTCCCCGCTCGCCATGGCCGGCGCTCCTCGGCCGCGGAAACAGCTCCCACCGGTAGCCGCCTCCTCTCCGCACAGATCTGGACCAGAGAGAACTGGATCCAGTCCATCACGGAATGCAGCCCGCCGCCGGTCGAGCCCCTCACGGATCCAGCCCCAGGACACCGGATCCGTCTAGTCTTTTTTTTTTTGCGACTTTTTTAGAGAAAGCGAGTCGACGCCGCTTGTTTCTCCGGAAAAGATCAGAAGAATATCTACGTGTTCCGCGTTCCTTGGTCGCCTTCTGTGCGACGGAGAAAGAGAGAAGGGTATGAATCGCAGGCATAACCGTGGCGGCGTAGCACAAGAAAAAAAAAACAGAACGGACACGCATGAAGACTGAAAAAAGTCACTTGCATTCATTCTTTATTGCCACCAAGGAATACAATCGTGTCCTTTTTGCCACTAGGCCAAAAATATCACACTTTGGTCACTCATTTGAACTTATTATACTACTATTTTATGTGCTTGTCCTTTACTTTCTCGCCTTTTTCCACCTCGTGATTGACAAACTCGTCCAAACGGCAATCCAACTGAGACCAATAATTGTGTCAGGAAGACCAGAGTTTCAGCAGTTTGTTACAAAACAAAAGCAACACAAGCTCCGACCTCCGAGAGAGATCACATAATTGATTGAAACAAAAGAAAGACACCAAGCCTCCGCCAGTGTAAGTGCTGCTCGCGGCAACTAACAACCCCAAAGTCTGGCTTCCAGCTTCGTCCTTGCAGTTGCAAATCAAAAACAGCGGCAGACAGGGGAGCCATGCTGGCAGGTTTCTGAAGACGCCATGTCTATGTTTCCAGAGGTACCAAGCACATAGCAGCAAGTCAGCAAGTAAGTATTGCACCAGTATTAGAGGGATCAGGTCATCAGACTTATTCCATGATTCTTGTCTTTCAGACTTACTAGTTGATAAATACAGTAGTTGCCATATTCTCTCCATAGCTAGCCTATTCTCTGATCTTGTCTTGCACCAAAGAACACGGAAGGGAATGCTTCTCCCTGCTTTTCTCCTGCAACCGCTCCTCCTCGCATGCTTCTTTTCATCCTTTGTTCATCCTATGGAACCAAACGCATCCAAAACTTGGTGCGCCAATATGTCCATTCCTTATCCTTTTGGTATTGCTGGCGATGGCGGGAGCCCCTTCCTGTCCCAAGGCTTCCAGATATCATGTGGCTCCCGTAGATCTGCTGCCTTGTCTGGACCCGGCCTGCCCATTGGAAACAGGGTGTTTGGGATTCTTGACATCTCATTGCTGGATGGTTTTGTGACCATAGCAGCTAGTGCCAGTTCTCAGCAGTGCAAGGGGAACTCTAGCTTTAACCTTGAGGGTACCATCTTCACATACTCAGATACAAGAAACAAGTTCACAGCTCTGGGTTGTAACGTGGTGGCCATGCTGTTGAATGGCAGTAGCGGGTATAGCGGTGGTTGTGCTTCCTTTTGCTCTACCAAAGATAATATCGTTAATGGTTCATGCTCTGGTGTGGCTTGCTGCCAAGCTCCGGTGCCGAAAGGGCTACAGAAGATGGAGCTAGAATTCAGTATTATATCCAACAAGTACAACAGCACTCCACCATGCGGCGTGGCCTTCATCGTGGAGCAGAACTCGTATGTGTTTTCAAGTCTTGACTTGGATAACAAGCCTCAATACCGACCTGTTGTGCTTGAGTGGTCTATAGATGGTGGCAGCTGTGAAGAGGCAAACCAGTCCTCCACATCGTATGCCTGCCGGGAGAATAGCTACTGCTACAACTCACCAAATGGAATTGGTTACCGCTGCAATTGCTCCGACGGATTTCAGGGGAACCCATACCTGCCAGGGCCTGATGGTGGATGCCAAGGTACCAAATAAACTCTTGTACATAGATGCCTGTAGTTCTTCTCAAAAAAAAAAAACTGTAGTACCTGTAAGTAGCTTTTAATAATTTGTTTCTTCAACTTTAGATGGCAAGCAGAATCCATGTCTGATATCTGTTTTCTTTTTCACGTGGCTGTCCGCTGTTGGCAAGATATTGATGAATGCACCACCACACATCCGTGCACACATAAGTGCGTCAACACAAAAGGTGGTTTCCACTGCAGGTGCCCCGCAGGGATGAGCGGCGATGGCCTCAAAGAGGGAAGTGGATGCAATGGAGTAGGCACGCTAACAATTGCCGGAGGTAAGTGTTTGAAACCATACATCATCCAGTGAAAGATATTCAGTCATAAGAAACTTCTGAATTTTATTGCTCCTATCTTGCAGTCACAGGACTAGCTCTGCTAGTGCTTCTCTTTATTCTTGGTTTCTGGACCCATTGGCTTGTTAAGAAGAGGAAACTTGCAAAGACAAGACAGAGATACTTTATGGAGAATGGTGGCATGTTGCTGAAGCAGCAGATGTTTTCTGAGAGGGCACCGCTGCATATATTCACCTCTAGTGAGCTTGACAAAGCAACCAGTAACTTCAGTGATGACAATATTATTGGCAGAGGGGGATTTGGGACTGTGTACAAAGGCATACTATCCAACCAAGTGGTTGTGGCAATCAAGAAGGCACAGCGAGTTGATCAGACCCAGATGGAACAATTCGTCAATGAGTTGATCATTCTTTCACAAGTGAACCACAAACATGTGGTCCAGCTATTAGGATGTTGTCTTGAGACTGAAGTTCCTTTATTGGTTTATGAATTCATTACCAATGGGGCCCTTTTTCATCATCTACACAATACATCAGCCCCAATGTCATGGGAGAACCGTCTAAGCATTGCAGTTGAAACTGCATCCGCACTTGCATACTTGCATTTAGCTACAAAGATGCCAATAATTCACAGAGATGTCAAGTCATCAAACATACTTCTTGATGAGAATTTCACCGCAAAGGTGTCTGATTTTGGTGCCTCAAGGCCAATACCCTACAATCAGACCCATGTGACAACATTAGTGCAAGGGACACTAGGGTACCTTGACCCTGAGTACTTCCAGACAAGCCAATTGACTGAGAAGAGTGATGTGTACAGTTTCGGTGTGGTACTCATCGAGCTACTAACAAGGAAGAAACCTATTATGGATGGTATGACGGTTGACGTGAGAAGCCTAGCCCTGCAATTTAGTATGTTATTCCATCAAAATAAGTTGTTGGAGATTGTTGATCCTACAGTAGCAGAAGAGGCTGGAATGCGACATATTGAAACGGTAGCAAAGTTGGCGTTACGATGCTTAAGGTTGAAAGGTGAAGAAAGACCAAGGATGATAGAGGTTGCAATTGAACTTGAAGCACTGAGAAGGTTGGTGAAACAACATTTTATCATGAAGAGCGAGTCTTTGCTTCACGAGTCATGGTGCCATGAAGAGATGAGCATTGATGCACCATCGGATTTTTGCCTTGGCGATGATGGCATTCCTGGAGATGAAAGCCAAGAGATCATTCTACTTCCATCCAACAGTCTCTCATCCTAACTCAATAACTATCACAAAAAGAAGGTTTTAGCTGATTCTACCTTCTCAATTGTCAATTCAATCTTAATAATCTCTACGTCTTGTGCTTAGCTTCCAACCTGGTTAATGGAATATTGCTATACAAGTCCTTTTTTGTGAATTATTTGCCCAATTTTTGTTCAGCTATCACTGTTAGAAAATCCATTTTCAGTCACGGTCGAAACTGATTTCTAGAGGCGATCCTCTAGCCAAGTGCCTCTAGAAATATGTGTTTTGCAAAGGCAGGCAGTCACCTGCTTTTAGATATTGGATTTATAGAGGCGATTGGAATCATAGCCTAATAGCCAGCATCTAGAGATTGATTAAAACTTAGTGCCCCCTTGGCATTTCTAGATGTGGTTCTTGATGGAGCCGCATCTAAAAAAACAAGACACCTCTAAAAGTCATTTCTGTAGTACTGTATTTTTTGTGTCCACTTGTAGTTCAAAAGACGATAGCAATTCAGCTAAGTTATATCTCTACTGTATCAAAAGACAACCACCTTGTTCGCTGATACTGAAATTTGGCTTATGCTAATGCTTATGCTGAAATATTGTGAGAGAAAAACACTATTCCATAGCTGAAAAAGTAGTTCTGAATAAGCTCAAGCGAACAGGGCGAACAAAGAAATCAAGAGATCTATATATGCTTATCTCTTAATCTACTAATCAATCATTCTATAGTACTAGTATATTGTCCATACCAACGCTACGACAACATTTCGTACATACACACCAAAACAACCAAAACACAATAAAACCTCTTGTCACGCTATTGACCCTAGTCAATGCCATGACGAGAAGTCTTCGAAACAAAATCATTTCCCAACAAACTAAAATTTGGTTGCATATCCTACCGTTCCTACTATGGGCGGCGCAACATACAACATGCAACCGCTCGAATTAAGGATTATGCTCACGTCATATTCTCATTCAAACGACGACATAAATGCAAGAGAGCAAAGCAGCCTAAAGATTAGTAACAGAAAGACTCTGCATGACCACGTAACCAGTGTCTGTGCCATCCTATAATAGATGTAGCACAGATAGGCCATAAAAGATTAGCTTGATAAATGCTAAAATCTCCCAGCATGTGTATAAATGATCAGCAAGCACTAAAGCACCTTAGCCCAATAAGAGTTGTCCTTAAGCCTTTCATTTGCAATTTTGACACTATCCAGCTTGACCCATTGAAAAGGAGTCACAGAGCTGCAGGAATAAAAAAAAAGGAAATTTATCGCAATTTTGACATTGGTCAAACTAATGATGCCTACTTCAACTTGCTCTAAACAGAAAAGGCTGCTGCTGCTTTTTGCTACAAGATTAATGACGAAATAATATCCTACAATAGCCAATGGACCAAAAAAGATCATTATCAGGATTCGGGAGCACTACCCAGTATAATAAAATATAGGCAATGCCGCAGGTTCTATTTAACTTTGACAGAGATCCTTAATTATAAACTCCAATGTGATTTTTGTTTACCGTGGTGTTTAACCAAGATCCTCTGTCAGCTCAATATTGCCCACCAAATTAGCAGATACGTATTGTTGGTGACCCATTGGACTGAATAGATGAATTCTCGGAATACAAATCAGCCCCAAAATCCATATCTGATTTTTATCCGTATTTTTTCCATTTATTTTTGGCATATCAGCTCACGAAGCAGAAACAGAACAATCCAGGTTGCAGTAGCAAAATATTTTTACAATAGGGGCATGCCATCTCTTGTCGTATCAGCACCAATGACAAGCACGAATGCCGCTGAGCACTTAACTTTTTTCTCTCGTCTAATAAAAATCTCGCAAAATCTTTAGCCGTCTTTCAAAAAAATGTTCACACTCATGAGTTCTGAGCCACGAAATGGACAGTAATTAGCAAGTATGCATTTCACCTCATAGTTGTAATGACCCGCAGCATTTAGCATGTACGTAAATGATATGTCTGCACCTGCGTTGTAAAGCCCACACATTCAGTTGTCGCGCAAAGGAGGTAAACTCTAGTGATATCATGAATACACTCTAGTGATATCACCATCAGCATCCCTCTAATCTCCTAGCTGAGATGAGCTCCAAGAATGGGTACGAAGACCACGACCACTTCACCTTTGGCATGGAGCTTACCACCGCCGAGCGCTTTTCACACTACAAGAAATGTGTGGCTTTTTTACGTTCTATTACGTTATAACATGTGGAATTTACGCCACAATTTAAGATTTATGACAATCGGTTGACGAAAATCCAAACGTCAAAAAACCACCGTCACAAATTTATTATGTGACGTTTATATATTTATTGTCATAAGTATATGACATTGCTTTATTATCACAAAATCCTCGGCCTTGCCACGTGGCAGCTGACATGGCAGGGAAAAAAACGTCACAAAATAAGATTTGGCCTGCTAAAGGCCACGTAGCTCATGGGCCACAAAGATTTGGTGGGCTGTTGCTGGCTGGCCCATTATTTCATTTTCGGTTTTTTTGCCTATATTTTTATGGTTGCAGCCCAAGCAATTTTTTAGCCCATATAATTTTTGGCCCACACAATTCAGACCAAAGCCCAAAGCTTACAGCCCAAAGCTTGATCGATGCAACAACTAATAATTAGAATATGCCAGAAATATGCAACAACTAAATTAATCGATGCAACAACTAATAATACGTATAGTCGCACACAGGGCACTGTTACCTTCAAATAGCATTCTGTCACGGTGGCTGCTGTTGCCGTGAATACTCTGTCGAGACACGTTTCTTCCTCAACCCAACTGCCTGGTTGGGCATGGACACGCTGATAGACAGTGACACACGCCCTACACCACGTGGCTACCTCGCACGACCCAGTCGCGCCGGGTCCACACGGCGGCGCCCGCAGCTGCCTCACGCCCTCACGTCCGTGGACACTGCCAGGAGACCAGTGCCCTGTGTGTGACTATATGTACGTGCATGGATCATCTATCAATGAGCTCACAGCGCGTGCAATAGCAATCGAGTTTGTGTGCATGCATATAGGAGTACTCACGATGGCTGGGACCTGGGACGAGGGCTGCATGTGCCTGGTTCGCTCGCCTGTGCCTGGACGCCAAGCTCGAAGCCACTGATCTGCTCTCAGCTCTCACCACCACCGTTCCCCACCGTTGGCACCACCGTACCACTATCGAGCCGGGTGCCCCACCATCTCCGCCAGCATGTTCTCACCCCTGCGCACGATAGCAAACAACTCCGAGCCGGAGCCACGCCATGCGCCAAAACTGTTGCTGTCTGCCGCCATGGCCGGCTCTTAGTCCGCCGTCGCTGTTCCCATGGGTGCAGACCACCAGCACCTTGGCCGAGCGTACCACCACGTCTGTCCGAACTTCTTCCGACCGCGGCTCACCTGAACTGGGTAAATCTGCTCTGGGACGCTGGATCATGTCGCCGCCAGGTGCGTTGTTCCTACTGCTCGCCATGGCCGCCACACGGAGAATTCCCGCAGACAGCTCCAATCGGAGGCACCTCCACCAAGCCAACTACACTGTCGCGTCCACCGCCACCACCGCGTGACCAAACCGGAGAATTAGCGACAAACTGCTCGGTGCTCTGCTGGGCCGTTGCTATAGTTTTGAATGTTTGATGCAGGGAAACAACAGAGGGAAAGAGAAGTGGCTAATAAAGGTTCGAAAACCCATGCAGGCATGGCGCATGCTCTGATCCCTTCTCCCTGCTTGGCTGCTTCCTATTACCCGAGACCCGAGCTCGTCCTCGCCATCGATTTTGTATGAAATACGTGTGTGTATTTGAAGTGGCCATGCAAAATGAGTACGCTAGGGAATGATAATAGCAAGGGCGTTGCTAGCGCCCGCCCGCACGCACAGTCCGTCTCCGTCCGACTCAAACGCGCACCCTGCCCTTAACGCTGCACCAGCCGCTCCTCGCATCTGAACGACCACACAGCCCGCCACCGTCCACCTCGCCCCCGCCTCGCATGCACACCCTACCCGTCGCTGTGCCCGCTACTCTTTCCCCCTGACCCCCTCCTCTCTCTTCGTGTGGGTGGGACCTAGGAACTGGCCCCCCTGCTCGGCGCGCCCCATCCCCGGGCCTAAGCCGTGCGTCCATCAATCATCGTGCCCCCGTGAAACACTTATAATATGAAACACTTAGATGCAACATACAACTGGCACAGATAAAACTTTTGAAACATGCTGTTGCAACATATGTGTGAAACATATGCAACATCCAAATAAAACACTTGCAACATGTGTGTGAAACATATAAAACATCCAGATAAAACATTTGCAACATGTGTGTGAAACATATACAACATCCAGATAAAACACTTACTACAGCATACGTCTAAAATAAATGAAACATTTTAACAAACGCTTGTAACATACCTCTGAAACACTTGCAAAATATGTGCAACATCTCAATCTACTTTTGCAATGTCCATATATAACAGCTGCAAACATATCTCTGAAACATCTAAAATGCTTAAAACATACATTTGCAACATAGGAGAGGAGGAAGGCTGGGGCCGGTCAATTCCGATCGCCGGGGTGGGAATGTGGGATCCGACGACGAGCGGCGGCGCGCTACCACCACCACCACCAGCACCGGCCTTGGCTCGGCCAGGTGGGCTGAGCATGCTACCGGAGGGAACGGGCGGCGCGGCGCTCGGCCCAAGCGAGGAGCGAGGTGCGGGTGGGGTGCGTGACGGGCGGGAGAGAGGAGCGAGGAGCGAGCGGTGCAGGTGGGCCACGTGACGGGCAGGAGCAGGTGGGACGCGCGATGGGCGGGAGTGAGAAGCAAGCGAGCGAACGGCGCAGAACGGAGCGCGCGATGGGAGAAGACCGCAGCCACGAGAAAAAATGAGGCGCACGGCGTTCGGATCGGACGGACGCCTGTGGCGCTCGCTAAAACCAAGATTGGGAGTATCCTTTAATTTCTTGAGCATGCAAGCGAACAGAGCCACGGCGAGGAAGCGAGAGCCCGGGACGTCAGTGCACGCCGCCGCCGTACCAGCGGATTGAGTGGAAGTGAGACTTTGAGCTAGCAAAAACCTTGTGCCGACTGACTTGCGATCACGCAACGCTAACCGAGAAAGGGATCTTCACGAATGACGACAGGTGGTGTTCGGAGCACGCACGCAATCTAAACGCGGGACGGCAAACTCTAGCATGCTGGATCTCATTCCATGCCTTCACAACTTGTTCACCGTGCAACTATTCTCTCCCGTTTGTATGTAAGTTGCATGGCCTCTCTTTTGTTGGGTTCTTCGTGGAGAGCCAAACAAGACAAGTAATGTACATTTAATCTCGACGACCTTTATATTATTCTATAGTGTGAATTTTCGTCGTCCTTTCTTCATTCTTCGGCATCGGATGGTGTCAATTTCTAGAAAACTAAATCACCGTGAGCCTCAGCGAAAAAAAGAATGAAACGACGTGTCTGGGATCGAAGCCTCAACTCTGTCACTGGCCGGTGGGCCCTGGCTCGTTATCTATACAAACCAAACCCGCGCTCCAGAGCACAGCGCTACACCTGCGACCTGCGCGCATTCACAGCCGCCGGCGCCACACGTGCCCGCGCGCACGGGCGCCACCACTCTCCCTTCCAGCCTTCCTCTCCCGGACCAGGCGGCACCCCTGCCTCAATGGCTGCCACCGCCACCATCGCCGCCCACCTCCCGCTGCGGGGCCCCGCGCGGCCTCCGTCCCGGCCATCCGTCGCCGCTGTAACCCGGTTCCGCGGCCGCCAGGAGCGGCGCGGCCTGGCGGCGACAGGCGGGAGGGGATTTGCCCGGGTTCGGGCGGAGGCTTTCTCAGGTGGTGGAGGCGTGGGGCGGAGGGACCCCATGGTGCCGCCTTACAATGTCCTCATCACCGGCTCCACCAAAGGTGAGCGAGCAGCCCGGTGCTGGCGAATTTTCGTTTAGGTCCCATTATTTATTGAGTTTGGCATGAAAGGCGGGGAAGGCTCCACATCTCTGTTGCGTGCCTGTGTTGAGACTTTAGACGCAATGTGTGTAATTCGAAGAGAAACCGATAACTACTGAGGCCGAGGTATCAAAATGAATGCTTGCAGTATCGATCTTTTCACTCAAATCAATGGAGGCTTAAGCTTGGAACTCTGTATCGATTGAGTGAAAACAATTTGTACCTTCAACATTTGCTTCCTTTTGTAGACACTGGCTTCAAACAAAGAAAACGGCACGCATATGAGCAAACAATTTGTACCTTTAACATCGATCCTACTCAACAGTTTTCTGTATTCTTCCGCAGGTATAGGATACGCGTTGGCAAGGAAATTTCTGGAGGCTGGTGATAATGTTATAATCTGCTCGAGATCAGGTATATAAGGAACTTTTCATTGGTATTAGTATTAGCATGTTATGCACTGAAATGCACATTTAATGGCCTAGCATGCTTTTACAGTTTGCAAACTGTTCTGCATAGTAGCCCACCTCCTTTTTTTTCTCTCTCTTTTCCAGTTTGATGACAGAATGATTTATAATTACTTTGTGTGGGAGTGGGATGTGATCCATCTATTGCCATTTGACATTCCCTGCACTTTTCTGGTATTGTTTCATGAATAATTTTAAGTCACATGACTAACTGAATGTAATTAATAAACTTCTAAAAAAAGAGGATGAAAAAGACAGCATGAAATAAATTACAATCGATACCAGTTTAGTCTTTTCCTTGACATGCAGTCTATCCTCTACAGCTCACAAGGTAGAATCTGTGGTCAGTGACTTGAAGGAGGAGTATGGAGAGCAACATGTGTGGGTACCTACCGCTGAGCTGCTCGGTTCTTATTTTTTTCATTAATTCGTTTATTCATGAATTGTGTTTTCTTCTTGGATGTGACATAGAGTTGCACCTTTTGCTTCTTACTGGTGACTTGTTGCTATTTTATTGTCACAGGGAACTGTCTGTGATGTTAGAGACGGAAAGGATGTAAAGGCACTTGTGGAGTTTGCACGTGACAAACTTGAGCATATTGATTTATGGGTATGCATAGATTTCTTCCCTCACAAATAACTGCATGTGCATTAATCTTCACAGTTGTTCTTTCTGGTATAGAAACATGGAACCACTTGCAATGAAATGATACTGATGTTTACTGCATAATTTCTGCCAGACTTGAAACATTTCTTAATCAGGTGCATGAGATATTAAACATGACTGTGGCTTGTTTGTGGCATACTCTGCCCTAGGCACATCTTTCAGTTTCCTTCTTGATTGTTCTAACTTCATTTTTAAAAGGGAAAAAGATAAAATAAACTCGGCTCCTCTTGGACCAGTTTAGGTTTGTCTGAAACTCTGAATAGCAGTACAAATATGGTATTTTTTTATATTTTTGTTTTGTGGTGCAGATCAACAATGCTGGATCAAATGCATATACATACAAACCACTTGTGGAGACCTCGGACGAGGCTCTCATGTAAGTTTTGTCCTATTTGAGGAAGCTTGGCCAATACACTTCTATCATTTGTGCTGTTAATATCAATGATTAATTGGCCCTTTTCTCTGATTTACTAGGGAAATCATCACCACTAACACCCTTGGACTGATGATATGTTGTCGTGAGGTATTAAACTATTAATCACGCTAAATATTAGCTTTCTTACTTCCAGTATGATGACCATGAACAATTATTTACTAAACATCGCATGTTTGCCATCTTAGGCAATAAATATGATGAGGAACCAACCTCGAGGTGGTCACATATTCAACCTTGATGGTGCTGGTTCTGATGGAAGGCCAACTCCAAGGTATGTGTTTCCAAATTCCAAATATCTAGTGTAATGTAATGTGGACACTACTACATGATTTTATCTTCCTTTGAATTCACAAATTATACGATGCTGTGGAGTTTTGTGCAGTGCATAATATCGTCTTGATTTTAAACGCTGGTAGGATCAGAACTCTTACCATCCCTCTCCATATGGGTGTATATTGTATTTGACACTGTTTTGACAGACATATGAGCGGATCAGTAGTTTGGATAAGTGAAATTGGTTGTGAACAGAGACAGATAGCAAGCAAGGATAAACAAATTAGATTTTTATGGCTAATACTACTGTGAAATACTGCTATAGAACTCCAGGTTTTTGTTCTCAGATATATGATCTGAATTTTGGCTGATAATAACCAGATTTGCTGCATATGGTGCAACAAAGCGAAGTGTTGTGCATCTTACGAAGTCACTTCAGGTAAAAGACAACCCTTTTTGAGGAACAACATCAAATTCTTGGTTTTCTTTAGAAATTCCCAGTTACATAGGAGTATATGGTCATGATGAACATTTGATTTATTATTGCCTCATAGAACTGTTGATTTCCTTGAGACATGAAGACTATAAACTACACTGCAAATCCATAACAATTATTTTTCAGTGTCCAGAATTATCTGTGATTTATCGAAATCAGTTGGTATAGACTATGACTAGTTGCTGGAACACCACAGAAGTTTTTTTTTTTTAAATCTTAAACAAGTAGAGTTTACCCCTCCCCCCCCTGCAGGTTGAGTTGAGTTTTCCTAAGTAGACACCACCCACCCACCCCAGACATCAATCCCCATATTATTTTGTCATTGTTGACAACAATAGTTAGCTGTAGCTAATAAGAAAAATAATTTTATTTTAATTGCAGGCTGAATTGCAGATGAATGAAGTGAATAATGTGATGGTGCACAACCTATCGGTATGTAACCCCATCATTTCTTCTCTTGCCATAAATATTCTAGACATCTAAAAATTAATCTGAACAGCATTTTAACTTTGTAAGCGACATGGCACGGTGGATAGTAGATTGATTATGACTTCTGAGAGTGCAAGGAACATGCATATATAGGCAAGGATGTGGAGGGTTTGGTTTGTAAGTAAGCCATCACCGAATATCCTTGCCTATCACCAATCGCCTATCAATCTACCTCGGCGCACATGGTTTCGATGGCCTGCGCAGCATAGCACCCGTGGGTCAATAGGCCTAGCCACAATAAAGGCCTAATCGCCTGTCTAACAGGCGTTAACGCACTAAAGTAGTTTAACTAGCTACTTTCTATAGGCTTTGGGCCATGCATAAATGCATGACTATCAGTTTGCATTCTGCCTAAGTAATCTATAAATAATGTTGAAGGAGCAATCATGCAAATTATATGTATATCATGTGCAGCCTGGCATGGTCACAACAGATCTTCTTATGTCTGGTGCAACTACAAAACAAGTAAGGATCAGCCCCGACTCATTTTCCTTTCGCCATAGTTAAAAGAATTCAGGGTTACTGAATTATGAACTTACTGATGCCAGGCAAAATTTTTCATCAATATATTAGCTGAACCTCCTGATGTGGTAAGAGTTTTATCATTATATTGTATTCTGGTGTATTGTGGTTGGCTCTTATTTTACAGCTTCCATGTGGCCAGAGTAGCAATGGCTCATTAATTGTTGTATGTATGCCTGTATCTGTTTTGTTGTGCGCCTGTGTGGAATGTGCAACCGTCTTATTTGAAAATGGATTTCCTAAGGACTCCTAGACAGTTCATTATTAAATGGATCAACTAGACCATTATCTTTGCTTACATTACAAAAGTTCCAACATGCTAGTGCTTAGTGATAGTGAGTTTAGTCATGCATACATTTATATCTGTTGACCTCTTCCCTAAGGAAGTAGTGGGCATGTGTATAGCCATCCAGTAGTTCCGATGTGACGATTGAGGACTGGGGATGCAAAATTCTGACCATTATCATACACAATACTACTTACCTTTATCACATAAAATATGTTAACAGATCACTCAATCCTATGTCATTATAATTATTGATTTTTCTATAACATATACTAAGGAAAATAATAGTCAAAACGAGTTTTGGAGACTGTATTGACTATTGACTGTCTAATGAAGAATTAAATAAAACCAGAGAGAGTAAGTTTTCAAAATCAGATTTCCACAGTTCAGTTCAGTTGAAGTACCTCACAATGTTTCATGGAGCATAACATGCATGGCTGGTTATGCAGTTTATGCTATATATGAACTGTAGGTTCATTTTTTCGCTAGATTTCTCTGGCTATTCAATTTAGGTAAGACCTACAGTTTTTTTAAGCTTCTGATTGGTAGAAAACTGCGCTGACCTGAGATACTTATTCATGTCTCACACTCACTGTTATAATAGGTTGCAGACTACCTCGTTCCGAACATCAGAGCAATCCCTACCAATCAATCCATGAAGCCAACCTACATTCGCTTCCTCACAGGCTTGAAAGCCTACTCAAGAATTTTTTCTGTAAGAACTCTCCTGATCATGGGCGCTGTCTTCAATTATTCTTTGACATCCTGACAACACCAATTCTCCTGCATCTGTAATTCACCCTCTACGATTTCACCTGCAGAGACTTGCTTTTGGTGCTCGAAGAAACAAGTATGTTACTGAGGATTAGTTGTCCGTGCTGCCAGCTTCCAACTGAAGAGATTAGGAACAATTCTTTTCATTAAGCGTCACTTATTTTTCTCAGAAGATGGAATGTATTACAGATGTCATCTCATGAGAACACAGTGATGTACTCTTCTGTACAGTAGTAGCAATTTGATTACCTTATTATAAATACTACTGATAATTTATCATCCTTGTGCATTCTATGTCTGTACAAATTTCAAACCATACTTGGACAAGATTGGCTGAAATTGTATTATGCCTGTTCTAGAGCAGATCATGATACATCTATGCACCAGATTGAACATACTCTACCTGGTTACTTACCAGAATCTCTGCAGTCATTTGCCTACTTACTCCACTTGCAAGTGGATGCAATGTTAAAATTATGACCTAACTGTTTGATTGATGTACTATCTTTCTTCTCCTTGTTTTTTTTTTTGAAAAGTATGCAGATAGCAGGACAACAAGATAAGGCACAACTACCTTGATGTGAAGAATTTCCACTAATGAATCCCATAAAGGCTTGCTATAACTTCACTCACATGTCAAGCATGCTGCTTGCCTAATAAGTCGACCTCAGCATTAATCACGGTACCAAAATTATCATTTGCAGTGTTATGTTTCTTTGTTATCACATCCACTCATGATTTTAATAAATATGAAGAACTTCCACTAATGAATCCCATAAAGGCTACATGTGCTATAGAAAGAGCACCTTATGACATCATGACATATCTGTAATTAACATTGGACAACCACTCTTCTTGTTTTCTTGTCATTTTGAGAAGCCTGTACTTCCGTGCCTAACTTTCCTTCTATGAACAGCCACTGTGATGATGGATAAGACACTGTGTAGTGAGTGTAGCACTGTAGCGTCTCTAGTCTCTTACAGGGAGATCTATATAGAGGGGGGTGATATGCTTTCTAGTTCAGGACATCATTCCTCACCCTTCTAGTTCTCCCTGGAAGAAAGGATACACCCTCAATTCCTTTTGCTTCCTAAGTTCTCACTGGAAGAACAGAAGGCTAAAATCATTTCGCTTCATCACATATATAGGTATGATTACTAATGTTTTTCTCTTCCGCAGCATTTGGCTTCTGTTTAATCTCAGTTTTCCCTTTTGGAAATCTTTCAGTGTCCACTTTTACTCAGATAACAGTGGGGGCTCGGGTAAAAAAACACTTTTACTCATAATATACACAAATTGATGGGCTGTCTTTTTAATTACAAAAGGCAAACTGCTTGGTTTCCTTTATCTTTACTGAATATGCCTGTTTTCTTTCTCATTCTGGAATGTCTCAAGAATGCTGTATTTCTGTTAGTGATAATGGAAATGGGGTTACCTCCGGTTCTAAAAAAAATTGTGAGATTGATTTTCAGAACAATGGTGAACAATAAACCAGCACAAAGCAATGATGTTCCTGACATGTCAAGCATGGTGGCTTCTCGCATTATCTGGGCAATGCAACCAACAAGGAGTTTCTTGCGGTGGTCTGATGATCTCCATATGATCTTTGTGAAAGCCGTGGCATATCAAGGCGGACCCCATGGTTTGGCTTCTTGACATTTGATCATACCTTGATTTGATCTTTTGGGGTGACGGGCTCCCTTTTTCGTCCCTTCAATATTTTGTTGTTCTATAAAGCTGATGCTGTGTCATGCAATTTGTTACAACCTGTAGAAGCTAAACCGGCTGCCGTGCAGAAGACAATGGAAGCTATGGGGGTCAGAGGATGACGACAACAACAACAACATAGCCTTTCAGTCCCAAGCAAGTTGGGATAGGCTAGAGTTGAAACCCACCAAAAGCTCCAAGTCACGGTTCAGGCACTTCAATAGCTACTTTCTAAGCACTCCTATTCAAACATAGATCTCTAGGTATATCCCAAGCTTTCAAATCTCTTTTTATTGTCCCCCCATGTCAATTTTGGTCTTCCTCTACTTTTCCTCATATTATTAGCTTGGCTTAGAACTCCACAATGCACTAATGCCTCTGGAGGTCTCCTTTGGACATGGCAAAACCACCTCAACTGATGTTGGACAAGCTTTTCTTCAATTGGTGCTACCCCTAGGCGATCACGTATATCATCGTTCCGAACTCGGTCCATTCTTGTGTGACCACAAATCCATCGCAACATACACATGTCTGCAACACTCAGTTGTTGAACATGTCGAATCTTTGTAGGCCAACATTCTGCTCCATACAATATAGAAGGTCTAATCGCCGTTCTATAAAACTTGTCTTTTAGCTTTTGTGGTACCCTCTTGTCAGAAGCTTGTTGCCACTTGATCCACCCTGCTTTGATTTTATGGCTAACGTCCGCATCAATATCTCCATCCCTCCGTAGCATCGATCCCAGATACCGAAAGGTATCCTTCTTAGGCACTACTTGACCTTCCAAACTCACATTTCCCTCCTCCTGTGCAGCTCTATCAAAGTCGCATCTCATGTATTCGGTTTTAATTCTGCTCAATCTAAAACCTTTAGACTCAAGAGTCTGTCGTCATAACTCTAGTTTTCTATTTACTTCCGTCTGGCTTTCGTCCACTAACACTACATCATCAGCAAACAACATACACCAAGGGATATCTCCTTTGTAGGGGACCGTGACGCCTAAGAGGGGGGGTGAATTAGGCAACTTAAAATTCAAACCCAAAACTATGACCTCTTTTTCTAACCTTAGCAAAACCTATGCAAAAGATAAACTATCTAAATGCACAACTACGGTTTTGCTAGTGTGTTGCTATCTTTACCACAAAAGAAGTAATACAATCAATGTAAATGCAGAAGCTAAAGAGCAAGGTAGAGATATGCAAACTCACGTCGACGACTCCGGTATTTTTACCGAGGTATCGAGAAGCACGCAAGCTTCCCCCTAGTCCTCGTTGGAGCCCCTCGCAGGGAATCCCTCGCAAGGGCCAAGCTCACAGTCGGGTAACTCCGTGGATAGCCTCGGGCCTTCCCCACGCGCAAGTGGGTCTCCGATGTGCCTTCCGGCAAGCCTCTTCCGGATGTTCCCCGCCATCTTCACTATCAAGCTTCTAGCCAAAACGCCGTGGGCCTTATTCCCTCCGATACACGGTGGCGGCCACACCACAACCACGGTTGGTGTGATCTCGCAAGACTACAAGCCCCTCCGATGTACAACAATGGTGCGCGCAAGCACCGAGTGGTAAGAGATATGCAAACCTCACTAAACACTAGCCCTAAACCTAGAGCAAGCGCATAAGCGGTGGTCTAATCAACCTAAGCACTTCGTAAAGCACCCACGCTAATCACCTAATGAATCACTAAGCACTATGCAAGTGGAGATCACTAAAATAGTGTATCAACACCCTTGGTATGTTTTCTTAGCTCCACACTCTTCAAATGGCTGGTTGGGGGTATATTTATAAGCCCCACTGAGAAAGTAGCCGTTTGGGGCGAAATCCCGCTTTTCTGCTACTGATCGGACACTAATCACGTCCTGACCGGACACGTCCGGTCGTCCCGACCGTTAGAGCCGCGATCAACTGATCGGACGCTGCCAGCATCCGGTCACATGCCACCAGACGCGTCTGGTCGCAATTTCGCCGCTCTGGAACCTTTCTGTACTCGATCGGACGCTGCAGTTTTGCGTCCGGTCGCTGCTGCTGACGCCTGCTGTTGCCGAGCCTCTTGATCGGAGCGTCCGGTCACTTTCCGCCAGCGTCCGGTCACCTCTGTGAGCTCGTTTCTTCGCGATCTTGCGTACGGCTTGGTTGCTATCTTCGTGCTTGGACTTTGCTTGATATTTTGGGTCTTCTCTTGTGCTCCTAGGGTCTTGCTTATGGTGTTGATTATCGGATCATCACGTCGCCTTTGTCCAAGTCACGTCTTGCACCCTATTGAACTACAAAACGATCACTTGCAAATTCATTAGTCCAACTTGATTGTGTTTGTCATCAAACACCAAAATTCAAAGTAAATGGGCCTAGGGTCCATTTTTCTTACAATCTCCCCCTTTTTGGTGATTGATGACAACACGACCAAAGCAAGCAAATAATAGAATTTTGAAATTTGAAAACTACCTACTTGCTAGGATGCAATGCAAGGGGCAAGGCTATATGATGCTAAAAGATACTACTTGTAAAACTAAATGATACCACATAAAAACTTATCTTGCCCTTGCAAATGTCCCCATGTGGCACTATGGATTTAAGCCTTGCTTCCTACAAATTCTCCCTATTACATAGGCAATCCATAATCCACTATCCTCTCTTTCTCGGACCATTACCACTTATAGACACCACTTGTAGGTCATTACCACTTATAAATTATTATGATCTAGCTTTTGGTCCTACAAATTTATGCTTGCTTTTGGTCCTACAAAATCTCCCTCTTTGGAATCAAACACAAAAAAAGACATTAGTAGCACAAGAGAGAGTTCAAACTTTGTGAACCTTTGTATGTAGAGTGGAATAGGTCACAAAATTTGACTCTCACATTATATAGACTAAGCTCCCCCTAAATATATGCATACATATGGTACAAGGCAAAGCATATGCATAATTGACAAATTGTTGCTCAAGAGAATTTAATCTATATAATGCATGGAGAAAGCATATAAATATCAAAATGAAATCAACATGATGATATCGGTTTAAAAATACCACATGTGGAAATCAATTTGATTTCTACCACTTGCAATAGGTGGTGGATATTTGAAGTATGATGCTTAACTCTGAGGACTCCATTTTTCTTGCAATGAGACTACTACACACACAATAAGCTTGAAAAGGTGTTAGTCTCAAAGTATCCAACTTGTAGAGTAACCTCTCCCTAAATTTGTACACACAAGTATGGAATACTTGTAGGAAACATGCACAT